TTTCTGAAAAGTGCCTGAAAGCTGAATCAAAGGTCAAAGGTTGAATTTTGTGTGTCGATTAGAGCTGAAAAAGCCTTTTGAATGAGAGGAAAACCGTCTTTAGGAGCCAAACAGAAGACGTCTAGCTGCCTTTACTCTGAAGATTACAGAAATCTGGACCAGTCTGTGGGCCAACTACAATCTGAGATCTGTTTCACTCCAACCGGCACGTAAATACCAATCAATCAATCACTTTATTTTGGTAAATTGTCCACATTAAACACAAGAAACAACAAAAGAAAAAAAGAAATGAACAATAGACAAACCCACAGTTTACCAAAAAGGGAATAGGCCGAAGCAAAGCTTATTCTTGCCTACCCCATTTGTTACCTTACAACCTACCAGGATTTCTTAAAATTCAGATTCAAGTACATAGTACATATATAGATCTACACAACAGCGTAAGATTTTATCATTTTACATTTTAAAGCTCTTTTAAAGTTCACCAAGAAAGGACATAACTTAAATTCATCATTCAATTCATTCCACAGTTTCACACCAATAACTGAAACACATCTAAACTTTATCTGACTTTGTTTTAATGGTCAAGATTTCTGTAAAAATCACACTTTTTGAACATCTGACTGAAGAAGCGAGAATAATTTAAATCTATCCTGTCAAGATGGAGGAAACAAACAAAGCAGAATAAATATAAAATGCTATCTACTGTCTTTGGGAGACTTTATGGAGCCATCAAAATGACCACAAGTCAAAATCTAGAGGGGGATCTGCTCTCAGAGGAGTTAGCGACCGTCTCTGTGGTTAATTTAAATCGTCCGTTTAAAGACGGTTCTGTGTGCAGAAAGCAAAAGAAGCAAATCCGCTTGTGGACACAAAACTGAAGCCCCTCCAGACTCGAATCATTATAAAATATCTGTATGAAACCTGCACTCACAGGAGACTAGATTTAAGTGAATTATCCTCCAACAAATCTCTTTACTTCCTGATGCTCCGAGTCCAACGTTTGCTCCATAATTTAAAGCATGCTGATCTGTTTTTAGGGTTAAAACTGTGTGAAAGTATCAGCCAAACAGGCAGAAATCTCATTTTTCAGCGTTAGCTGAAAGTAAGAAGATGCTCAGACATCCACAGGAAGATATTCTACCACGAAACAAGTCATGTCAGCATATCTGGGGAATTCTTATTCCTCTGCAAGACGGACAATTTCAGAGAAACTAATCGCTGGATTCAGGAAATTAGCAGTTTCAGCATGATCTTCCTGAGGTTTATCAACTCCATCTCAAGCCAGAAGAGTAAAAACTTTGAATGTAAGCTTGTAATTCATTCCAACCCTGAAAAGAACTGAAAAATTAAACATTAAATCTAAAAAATAAACAAGTTGAATCGAGCTTTCTGACTGGATCACATCCACATTTGGCCTTTAAGCAGATAAATCTTTTAAAAGAGTTTAATTGAGTCCAGGTTAATGTGGTAAAGGTGCACATAAGGAGGTTTTTCTGAAGAGAAACTGCTAAAATGAGCCATCAGAAAGAAACTCAGCATCCAAAACAGTCAGTCCAGGTTTTATTTAATGGTCCTGTGAGCACTTTTCATTAGACAGAGATCCACAGAAGGAGGAGCTGGACTTCACTTTGCAAACTGATTGACCAGATTAAAGCGCTGTCTGGAGAGAAATGTTTAGCTTTCATTCTGATTGTTGTAATCCTTTTAGTTTTTTATTTATTTATTTATTTTTAGAGTTACAGACCCAGGTAATCCATGCTTGCCTGACAGTCTCATTCCTGACTGGGCGTCTTCAATTTCCCCGTTCGCTACAGGATTGATTTAATTCATTTTACTGCAGATTTCCAAATCCCTCGGTGGACTCGAGCCACCTTCCTTTGCAGAGAAACTCAGAAAGCCGAGGTTATCTGGGCAGTTTCTCCCTGACTGACCCAGAAAACTGGGCTTAATGCAGGAGATCTTTTATTAGAGCCTTTGCAGTAGCAGCTCTGGACATGTACATGAATCTAAAAAAAACACTAAATCTAACAAACTCTGATGTAAAGCAAAAATCTACCTCACTAAGTGGATTATTCAGTTCTATAACAAAAAGGAAATATACTGTTTTTGTCCTAAAACTGTGAACAAGTTTTTAAAAATGTTATTTCATTTTCCCTTCGTTGATTTTTTGGTCTGTTTTTCTCTTTTATTGCTGTAATTGTAATGTTGAGTGATATGGATTAAATTCTTTGTGTGGAACTCAGTGGTAAAATTAGCTTTAATTCAACAGAAGAACAGCCCCCAGTCTCTAACATTTTCAGTTCCTTTTGTAAAGATCCATCTCTCCCCTTTTGGCTTCTTATTGTGCCGAGACTATGGTTATTCAATATTTTAATATGTTTTACCACTCTCTATATTACACGCAGCTTTTCTTCCTAAATAAATAAACAGCTTCTATTGTTGTCCCATTTATACTTTGAACAGCATTCGATCAGCTCAAAATTGTTGTAAATGTGAATAAAAGTGAACCTTATAGACTGAACCACTTCCCCAAATTCGCATTAAACTCAGAATAAGCAAAAATATAGAACAGAATCGGCTTCACCTCCAAACGGAGGAGAAACAAAGGCTGTAAATGTATGAAGCAGAGCCAAAATATGTCACTCTGTTGCATCATTTTGGAGAAATCTATACCTTAGCTTTGCAAAGACTAAAAGCAAATATCTAAACCCTTTCAATTTCATACTCCTGACATAATCCGTTTCACATTAATTCAGAAAAATCTCTTACAATCTAAACATCTTAAAAATCACCTCTTTATTTAAGATTATTTCTGATATTTTCACACAGTGCTGGACTTCTCAATTTTAGCGTTTTTTTGTGGTGTTGTGGTGGCACCGGTTAAAGGGGAAGGATCCATTAGGCAAACAGTTTTTAAGAGCGTAAATAAAAAAATAACTAATGCACATGAACTTCAATAGACCGGATTTTATAAAGCCAAATATTATGCTAAGCTGTGCTTAGAAAGCAGACATATTTAAGAATAAACTATGAATTCATTGAAGGCTTTCTGTAGATTTTGCCTTAATAAATCCTTTTTTCTGTCCATCAAACTGTGTTTTCTTTGGCCTTTTTCCCACATCAGCTACAGAAATGGGAGCAAATTATGTGCGTTTGTGACAAAAGAGCAAAAAATCCAGTTTGACCCTTTGTTTTAGGGACAATTTGCTACTTTCCTTTGCTAGTGCTCCTTAAAAACGGTCTCTTTTCGCTTTGTTTGGCGTCATTTGTGTGAATTTATGGCTATTTGTTATTCTGACATACAGTAATAACACAAAAGCAGAATATTTGATTTGTTAACTAAATAATTCGGTGTTGCAATAAGATGCTGTTCCTGTCCACACAAATGCAGACTAAACCTCTCCACTCCAAACATCATGCAAACAGTCAGGAAAAGGTAAAAATGTAGATTACTGACCATCATTCTGGATTTGCTCGGCTAAAAACACTAAAAATAGACTTTGCTCAATTTTTGGGGTTTTGTTTGGTCCATCTTTTGAGTTAGGGGCATTTTTTCTGCTTTAATTATTCAAATGTGACCCAACAAACCAAAATAAACTAGACTCTAAATTTGAGAAAAACCTGGCAATGCCTCATTTGATACAAGAAAGCTGTTGGTTGATCGGCTGCTTCACAACATTAGCCCAGTTTAGTCTGCAAAAAACGTTAAATTTAGAATGCAAAAAGCTGTTAAACCGGTTTCACTTGTAGGGAAAAGACTGATCTGAAGATGAGAGAAATCGAGCCAGAAGGGGATGGAGATAAAACCAGAGATAAGAGATAAGAGACGTCCGTGTAAATAAACTACTGTTTATTAGCCACCCGGCTAACGAGGTGACTCATTCAGATCAAACCCCTCGCTCTTAATTCGAAGTGAATCGGAGGATTGTCACATTTGTCAACGCCAGAACACACGAGTCGGAGCGTCGGAAAGTCGGCTTTGGCAAAACATAACAAGAGTCTGAATCACCAGAACTGACAGGAAACAAAGCCCCCGCGAACCCGCCAACAAAACGACACTTTGATGTGCGGAAAACGGAAAAACGGACTCGAAATTCCTAATTCTCTCCATATTTCTCCTCCAAATCTCCCCCTGAGCCGAGCACCCCGAGTGAATTCTCCAGGTTTATCCTGATGTGACAGCTTTCCAGCCACAATTCCTCCAGTTTATCATCTAAACGACAACAGAGGGGGGGGGGGAATGGGTCTATCTCTGTGGCTTATCGTCTTAAGAACATGACACTTGTCTATTGCCCTTTTGATGTAAAACGCTCCTGTCTCTTATCTGCTTTTTAAAGGGGAATCCACTCCATCATGAATTAAACAAAAAGGGCGTTAAGTATCGGAGAGAGGCCCTAAAGACGAGTGCTGGGACTGCAGGAAGCCAAGGATGGAGGTCCAACTCCCCCACATCCAAGTCGGCCATTTTGATTAGGTCACCAACAGGAAGATCCCAGGCAAGAAAATCCTAATTGCTTCATGGCAATATAGACATTAATTTAAAAATAGTGAAGTTAATCTTGCAAACACTGAATTAAACACTAGACATAATATTATGTTAAAATAGTGGATGTTAAATAGGTTTGTACAATAAGTCCAAAAAAGTTTAACCAACAAATATTTATTTCTCACAATTATGAGGGGTGGAGGGTCAGGGTTAGGGTTAGGGTTAGGGTTAGGTTTAGGCTCAGGGTTAGGTTTAGGGTCACGGTTAGTGTCAGGGTTAGGGTTAGGGTTAGGGTTAGGGTTAGGGTTAGTGTTTGCAAGATTAATTCCACTATTTTCAAATCAATGTCTATATTGCCATGAAGCAATTACCATTTTCTTGCCTGGGATCTTCCTATTGGTGCCCTAATAAAAATGGCCGACTTGGATGTGGGCGTAGTCGGATCTCCATCCTTGGCTTCCTGCAGTCTGCATCCCGACTCCTTTTCTGATCAGATTAAAAAAGAACTCACCTTTGAGTACAGATAAACTCGATCTGTGTACTGGCTGGCGCAGAACTGCAGACCCGGGTAAACGGGAAGGACGCCGCCATCTTTGCCGCCATCTTCACCTCCATCTTCACCTCCATCTTCACCTCCATCTTCACCACCATCTTCACCTCCATCTTCACCACCATTCCCCTCTCCATTTCCATCTCCAGCCTCAGAATCTCTGCAGCCTGTGGAGGGAAAACAAAAGGCCCACTAACATCACTGAGCACATTATTGACTCATTATTGGCTTTCCCAGAATTACTGCAACTCTGTTTGATCCTTTGGAGACGCAATGAATAGCAGAGAATTTAAACTGCAACAGCTTTTCGTATTTCTTACGCCGAGCACAATATTGAGAGAAGAAATTAAGTTTGTGTGTATACGGCCTCGGCCAAGGAGTATTTAAGCTTATTGCTTTCAAAATCCTGATTACAGAAGCCAAAATTAGGCAGTAATGTGGGACTTTTTTAATTTTATAATGAAATCACCTATGTGTGCGGGTCTAAAACATACAAATATTAATCATAAATGACTTTTACTACTATTATCAAGCCTATATAATTACAAACTTGCTAATTTGTGAATTTTTAAAAACTTTTGATGACCCGTAACATAAAAAAGTAACATGTTTTAGAGATATAATTTGGTTAATAGAAATCATCTGTGTGCCGGTCTAAAACATACAAATATTAATCATAAATAACTTTTACTACTATTATAAAGCCAGTATAACAAAAAACTTGCTCATTTCTTCATCTTTTGAAACTTTTGATGACCCGTAACATAAAAAAGACATGTTTTAGAGATATAAAATAAATTATCTATGTGTGCTGGTCTAAAACATACAAAGATTAACCATAAATTACTTTTACTACTATTACCAAGCCAGTATAACTAGAAACTTGCTCATTTTTAAAAATTTTCATGACCCGTAACATAAAAAAGACACGTGTTTTATAGATATAATTTGGTTAATAATCAAAGCACTGAGAAAATATGTGGTAAGCAGAGCTAAAAACACTTCAAATCCGACCGAAAACACGCGTTTGAAGTCCTTCATCCATCAGTGTCGTGTAATATTGGCGCGATGAAAACCACAATCTTTGACTCCAACTGTCCAATTTATTTTTCACAACTTCTCCGAGGAGATTTTCCGAGCAAAAAAGGGAGGGAAACGGAGCTCGGGAGCGAAGAAGCGAGCGATAAAACGAGGGTGGGAGAGGAAGAGAGGAGGAGGAGAAGAAGGGAAGGCGGGTCATTAATGTCAGGCGTGTAACTCGCTCATCCCGTTCTGCAGGAAAAGGTCAGGAGCTGGAAATGAGACCGCCGCTGTTCAGCCACGCTTCATTTAGACAATGACCTATAGCACTCTGATAATACTCGCCTTAAATCATCACCTCGCGTGTGCCTTGTCGGTGTGTGTGTGTGTGTGTGTGTGTGTGTGTGTGTGTGTGTGTGTGTG